GACATTGACGAAGACAAAGCACTAAGGTCAGAATGGTAGACCTTCCGTAGAACGATTTCGTAAACACCTATTTCTACTTTCTGTAATTGCTTCTAGAAGGAAACTGAACAGAAACGGCTTTGAAAACGGTTTCGTAAACACCTATTTCTGTTTTCTATCTTTTCTTCTCGAAGGTTATAGCTGAAGGAAAACAGAAACGGCATGCTATGTGAGACTATGATGTTTTCAACAACTGCGGCAAAATACAAGTGTAAGACAATTCTACTGGCCATATGGAAAACCAGGCATTTAAGTTTGTCTAAGGAACTCAACCCTGACCCTTATTCCTCTGAAGACTTATATGCTGACGTCTGGAAAGAGAAAAACGCTGACAAGTACAGCTGCTGACTTCCTTAAGACATCAACGTAAAGGTCAATGAACTATTTCCCTGCTGCCTTTGAAGTCCCAACGGCAGCACTAAGTCGGAACAGTGATAGACAAGAAGATGGGGGTTTATTAGATTAGCAAAAGGCAGGGACCCCAGAAAGTGCGAAATGCAACGAAATGGAACGAAATAAAAGGAAAGAAAACATGTAACGTGAAGTTTTGAATACAAACGTGATTGGTAATGCTTAGGTCACATTTGAAACGGCGCCCGTTCGGCATGTCCTCGGCGTAGACGCCGGCCGGCGTCATGGCGCCGAGCGTGCGCCGTACTGTCAGGGTCACAATTAAATGTTCCTTTACGGCTCCCTGTCGGGGCCTGCTTGTGCTCAGGCCGGCGGCTCTCATTAATATTCATAAACTTTTGCGGCCGGTTTCTGTCAGGGACCTGTCCGGCGCCCGGTCAGTCGCCCGTCTTGACCCGTGCGGCGTGTGGTAGGGTGCCGACCGGCTCTTACAGTTCGGCCGGGCAGCTGTCAGGTCCCTGGCGGGTTCCTGGCGGGATCCCGACGGGCTCCTCTCGTGTTTTTGAGAAGGTACATATATAAGCGCTGCACTGCCTGCTACCGTTCACTTCAAGTAAAGAGTACACGTCAAGTAAAGAGTAGACTGAAGTTGGCGATGCAGCGTTCAGTGCAACCTGCAAACAACTTACAAGCCCGTCTGAGATTGAGATTGGTGACAATCTACATGTAGGTCTTCTGGCATTGGTAGCTGAAGAAGAGAGGCAGGCAGAACTGGTGCGTCGCAAAAGTAACCGAGGGCCTACTTTCGAAAGTACTTCAACAGTGACGCAGGAAGTACTTCAGCAGTGACGCAGGAAGTGTGCCGTGGCAGCTCCTTGCTATTGAGCAATAAAACCACTGAATATCGTTACTTCTGTTGAAATTTGGACTGAAAATAAATGCCAATAACTTCTGATTCCATTTTATTACGAAGGCATATGATGTAACAAGAGATAATGTCAGACACATTCTATTCCTGTTATGATCTGTTTTATGAAGTTGGCAAGAGAGCCGTGCCGGCTGTTTTCCCTTGCCCTTCGACATTCTGACACACAAATACACACACAAGTACACGATGTAACACACACATGGTGAACTGTGCGACGTAGTCTGAGGCAGGAGTTTATATATGCTCCCTATAACCCCCTTTTCCTGACTATCTGATGCACTGATCAGCACATGTGACGTCATAATCTTAGGCAGGTCCCTGTTCGGCCGCCCGACGGGTCCCGGGCAGTGAGGTTACGGCGTCGCTTCGGCGTATTTCGCCGAACGGGGCCCGAAGTGTTTTTAACTCTGAGTTAAAATCGATTCGGCGACCGCGCGGGGCCAAAAATAGGCCGGCAGCCGTCGGGAAGCCCGCCGGTCTCCGTCCAGGTCCCGTTCGGTAGTGCCAAAAAACACGCCGAACACGCGCCGAGCGGGCCCCTTTCTTGAATTGTGACCTAAGCATAAATAGATAATCTGACGTGTTTGATTTCTAAAACTACTCAGTTTTTGTGTGTTTACGTGGCTAATTTCTTCGCCGAAAATGGGGACGCTGACGGCAAAAGATCCACCACTGTTTACCAACGTTGAAGGACTTGATCATTTTAGTACATTTATTTAGTACTTATAATTATTTGAGGTAGAAAAACGTGTTAAGCCGAAAACATGGTGTTAAACGTTATTTTGTACCATTAGTTTTTGTTTTATTATGACGTTGAACGATATGCTATGCTACATAAACTTTGACCAAGTGCACGAAATCGCGACAAGGAAACAGGAAGGACTAGAATAAAGAATTTGGCGGTAACATTACTTTTTCAGAATTCACCAAGAGTGCATGCATGAGGCAAGTGTTATTTTAACCAATTCTTGAAGAAATACAAGATATCATATCATACAATAAATCATATCAGCTTATTTGTCTATCACTTTCTTCTGTATTTAAAACTTTAAAGTTCCTTGCCTTCTTTTCCGCCATCTAGATGTATTTTATATTTCATTGTATTTTTTTAAACACAATTATACATATTTTGTTTTCTTTCATTTCATTTCGTTACATTTCGCACTTTCTGTACAGCTCAAAAGACATGCAGGGAGTCGTTGACCTCGGGTACATGTAGACAAAGCAACCGGATAAGCTTTGAATGGAAATGTTTCCACTTTTACATTAGCAGGCTCGGTTTGCTGGGTAGAGTAGAGTAGATGACAGTTAGTAGATTGGCCAAAACTTGTTGGGGGGGGGGTCATCTTAAGGATGCATCTTAAACGTACGGCTTCCGCGGCTGATAGGTCTTAACTTAGCGCATATATTATAGGGAGCCCGCGTGCCCTTTTCCGTACTCGGAGCGTAATCGACCGTTTTAATTCTAGGTAGAACGTTGTAGCCACTTGGAATTTATCGTAAAGCGTAATCGAGAAATTTCCTGAATTCATCGAAATACGTAGCCAGCTCTCAAAATTTAGGGTAGAGCGTTGTCGGGAACCCCCCTCCCCCCCCCCCCCACCACACACACCATAGTTTGCTGCCTTGGAAGCCATTTTTAGGGAATTCCAAATACGAAACAAATATTGAAGTGTGCATATTCAGAAGATTCGTGTGTGGGGGGGGGGGTATATAACAATCTTATTGCTCAACGTTGTACAGGGTACAAAGTATGGCATCTACTAGTGCATGTACATAACTACAATTCCATAAGGTTCACCTACAAGAGTATTTGGCTAGTATAGAGCGGGAATGAGGTTTTTCAATCATTGGAGGGATTTCTAATGGCTAAACTTTTTTTGATATTGTATTTGGAAGGTTTGAATGAACAATATTGCAGTAGGCCTTATGCAGTGTCCCAAATTCCTACATATGCAAGTCATCCGCGAATAGTTTTATCAGGTTGGTAAGTTACTGAGTAAAGAGACTCTTTTTACACGGCCAAGTAATTATCTTTTTTTTTTATTTATTATTACTTCATGATTCACTACAAAACAAGGCTCATGAGAGCCACTCAAAATGTTTTGGATTAGACAGTGAGGACAGATGTTTGTTGACCTTAGACTTGAAAAGTTTAAGGTTATACCCATAAGAAACAATCACGTGGTAGCTTATTCCATTTCATTTTCTTTTTTAATTTTATTCACAGCCGACGTTTCGGTGACCGTCTGTCACCTTCCTCAGGGCAATTCTGACTGGTTCACATTGCACTGCAGCACAGGTGTCGCTGCTATAGATGCACTCCCAAACGTACAATATTTACGTATCTACACATATACTATAGATGGTTGTGTAAAAAGAGCCTCTTCATTCATACGCTAATCATGTACAGAAGATGCGTGCACTGTGCATTAGCGCGGGCCTCCTGAAGCGTACAGGGGTTGCCCCGCGACCTTGTATCAGTACCGTGTCAGGACAGACGTAACTCACCAGCAGATAAACATTAACGCTGAACATCTGCCAACCCTAATTGGGAGAAAGGGCGGTGTTTTCAAGGCATCTACCATGTGGCACGGTGGTCCCCCTGATAATGCTCTGACAAGGCCACTCGTAATGGAAGTAGGACAGCATGTGTAGAACTGAGGTAAAGAGGCTTCAGCAAGAGTTTAGAGTGGCCTAGAGGATAGAGTGCTCGCCTTGCATTCGGTAACTCTCCAAGCAGAGGTTTGGGTTTTGGCTTATTTTTGGCGGGTTTCTTTTTTTGCACTGGAATTTTTTTACGCCAACTCAAAAAAATAAACCCCGATAAAAAAGACTAAAAACACGCCCAAAAGCCAAAACCCAAACCTCTGCTTGGAGAGTAGCTTTCGGTAAGTCTTGAGTTCGATTCCGTCATACCAAAGACTTTGACGTTTTTATATTCACCAAGCACTATACAACCCCCCCCCCCCCTACCGCACAATTTACAGCATGCGTAAATGTTCCGTTTCTTCTTTCGCAGGCTCCTTTACGCACGCTTTAGGGTATGTTTGCAGGTAGGATTTCGTTCCGTTTGCACGTTTGTAAGTGGGTAGGTTTCAAGATATGTAAAAATGTATTTATCAACTTCGTGCAAATATACTTAACTCAGAAACTAAGTGGTGCACATAGAAAATAATGTTAACTCGATTTCTGGCTCCGTACCCTTGTAAGTGTTTATACGTTATGACAACTCAAAAATAGTCTTAGACGGTATTGAAATTTTGCCTCTTTAATCAGAAACAAAAAAAAAAAACGCAACGCACATTATGGTATATGTTTTACCTGCACTGCACAATGCAGAATAACCCTTAGTTCCATAACCTTAATTCAATGATCAGGTCTCTTAATTCAATTATATTTCATTGGTTATTTTTTGAAATTTTGTATTGCATTTCAATCTGGCAATACGTACAAATGAAAAGTAATAGAAGCAAGAACATGTATACATATACACATGATACATGTATACATGATACACAAGAAAACCATGGATCCAACGACAATTGATAATACTGCAATGAAAAATTGATAATAAATAGAAAACCGAACATAGCCAAGGCAACCATACAAATAATATTAATGTACAAAGAAAAGAAACGGAACGCAAAATGGCAAATCAATTAACTTGAGTAGCCCCCAAATAAATTACAGAAATTAATTGAAAACAATTGTACAAAATAATCTAATCCAAATAAAAAGGTATACAAAACCAAAGTGTATACAGGAAAATATTAGTCATTTACATTAGGATGAGATCAACACACCCACATGCTAATTCCTTTGATAATCTCGTGTTTACTTTAAAGTTTAAATATAGACCGTATTTACAATTTCATGTTAACCAACATTAACAAGAGATACATAGAACACTTGTCACCCTAATAGTGTCTAGCGTACCGTTTGTCAACCCTCACTTCAGTGTCCACATATGTACATATATCCACGTCTTTATGATTCTAAATCGGTCATGTAAAATTCATATACTAGTGTTGTTAATCAAGGAGTCTTTTGGAGGTCAGCTTAATTCTTACTTACTACTTATCGTATTTCTGTATTCTATTGTTAATCTAGTTCCATTTAATAAAATAACGGTACTTATTAGATTGGGATAAATTACTATTTAAAGAACTAACGACTATATTATATTATGTAATGTTATGTTAATAAATTGGTAAGACATACTTTCAATTGTGTCAAGGCCATACTATGCAGTCCTTGAGCTGCTAACCCACGATGATTTCTATTATGGAAAATAGACCCGTCTACAATAGATACTAGATATTAAGTATATATGACTGCGTTATACGTGCGCAAACGTCACATGATATATTACTCTGATAAATCGGTATTTTAGAATTAAACATAATATTTTCATAAAAGAGGTCACGAAATTGTAAGAAGGTAGTTGAACTGGATTGAGGTTATGATACGTCTCATACTCTGCTACTTAACGATTTTTCCTTTTTGCAAATGTTGAGGATTCTTTGGCACGAGCAGAAGTCTGTGAGTATGTCGGTTTGATCATCAGTCACTGGACTCAGTGGAGTGTGAGGAATCTCCTCACCTGGACTCAGTGGAGTGTGAGGACTCTGCTCACCAATCTCCACCACGAAGTCTCTACGTGCTCCATCCGTGGAGCATTGTCTATGGCAATGCACGCTCCTGTTGCTCATCTGCGCGCTTAGTCTTCGATGGGGCACCGACGACCTCCGCGTGGAGCTCTGTACCGATGTTCCGATGGCCCTCCTGCAGCAACACGGTAAAACTCTCCGGAGTCCCACTCTGAAATTCTCCCCAAAGAAGGTGTAGACGAACGGGTTTAAGGCTGAGTTGGCGAAGGCGAGGCAGGTGAAGGCCATCTTGACGCGGTAGAGCGTGATGCCGCCCAGGACGAGCGGGTTCGCGACGCGCCACAGGTTGATGCCGTGAGTCGGTAGCCACAGCAGGGCGAACTGGAACGTCACTCCTAACACCATGGCCGTCACACGGCGCATCTGTACACAAGAGACGATACCAGAAATTAACACATGACAGGGACAACACGTTAAAGCAGGCTAGTCTTTAGTAACCGCAGGGACATTCTACAAGTGGTTACCGCGTGCAAATACATAAAACCGTGACCTGGATGACATCCTCTGGGTGGCAAAACTGATGCAACCGTGCGAATAAAAAAAGTTTGGCAAGAAAAGATGCCTTCATTATGAAATCTACGTGGTCAAGACAAGAAGGTATGGTATGTCGAATAATAGTCTCTTCATTTTCATTTATTCACACTTTCTTCTTGTTCCTTTGGAATTGATTTTGGCATTCTACGACATTAGTATCGCTATCGAATTTTTTTTTTAAATTTACGGCATACATTTGCTCATTTTGCAGCTGCTTTGTGCGATTGACAGTATGGTCGAAAGCTTTTTTTGGAAATTGACGAAAACTCGCGCGCGGATGTCATCCATATAATCAAAGCAACATCATGGCTTTAATTTTCTCATTTCTCCCAGTGTATTAATCAGTTAATTCATGAATTAATTGGAAATTACCCTTCGTTCATGTCTATCCAGATTCGTCCGTGGCATCTTTGAGCTGCGAATCAGCTGCCGCACAATAAGCGACCCGCACACGGCGCTGATGAACACTGGTACCAGGTACGTGATGACGAAGACGTAGACAAAATAGGACTTCTGGGCATCCATGGACTCCCAGTTCTCTCGACACAGGGTCTGGCCGCTGGGAACATGGAACACTTCGAAGCGGAGGGCAACAGGTATATTTATCAGCAACGAACCTGTACGGAGAAAAACATCATATTTTATTCAAATTGCAACAACAATACAAGGTGAAGCACTAGGCATCAGATGTTGGACTCCACACATATTTTACAACAGAAGTGAAGTAATATATACAAGCAATATAATATCATACTTTTATACTGAAAAAAAAACGCCTGTGTCGGTATACAACATATTGGAACCTTCATTTAACCAGGACGGGGGCCACTGCCAACTACCATCCACCTTTGACCCGTTGCCTATGTCCCATTTCCGGAAGACCAGAGGACTGGTCGAAATTTGGTGAGTCAAATCCTTGTTAACTTTTGGGAAAACGCTTTAACTTGCCCATGATACTGAGTTGGTGCCAAATATCTTCGATGAATCCGTTTCTTGCATACTAATTCGAATTGCTCATTAGAATAAATTAGTGACCTGTTGTCATCTCTCGTGATTGCGTTTCAAGTTTGTAAAGACAACAGCCTGTTTGATTACATCGTATAGCTTGGAATATTGAAAAATTCCACTTAAACTGTGCAAACTAACTAACTACCTAGCAAGGAATATTCTCCTTGCTTCCTAGCTATACTGCTGGAAAGTTCACCCCAAAGTGATTGATGTGGTTTTGTTAAATGTCAGTTGTGGTGTTTGAAAACAGTCGCCCTGGAAACGGTGACGCGTACGATTGCTGCCCCTTGACCACTTACAAAATTGAATACAAACATATGTGTGGGAACCTGGATAGACTTCGTGCTGCTGAAATACGACATTCCCAGACCAGTTGCTTTCTCGTGTTTCATCAACATTCAGACAGAACGTTTTTAAAACATCTGTTCAGGCTAATGTATTTGAACTATTGCTTGCTCTGCAGAAGACCAGCGCATACCTACTAGGTCAACCCTCTACCATGTAGCCAGTCATAATACTAGCCTGCTGTTATCCATCCGTTGCCACCAAAAGAAGAGTTGGGACCCGGTATTTAAGTATGAAAGACCCATAACTACGTGCATTCTTCTTCTCCAACTCTAAGATTTTTCAATCAGGCTTCCTCAACTTTCTGACCCAATTGCTGTGATCAATACGTCAACAATAGGTCAAAGTCGGAAGTCGATAGTGTCCCCCGTCCCGGGGGCGAGAGAAAGAAGGTTGGTACACCCTGGCCTCCTTTACTCCTCTCAGAAAGTAAGATATTCTGTATCCATGTTTTTTTGCCAACACAGATCATGTTCTAGCATTCCCTAGCCTAACAAAGTACAGTTCTGTTAATCCGTATTCAAATACATTCATACACCAGTATATGATGACCAGCCCCTCCAACTCTTGCTACATAATGTAACCCAACACCACTGCGTGTCTGCTACATCACCAATTACCATGGTGACAGACGTCTGGTCCAGCTTATTGACCTTATGAGTTTGGAGAAGAAGAAAAACAAACAGAGCAAAAACATGCATGTTTTTCTTCTGTGAAGGTAAAACATGAATTATGTAAACATAAATTATGGGTTTGGAGAAAAAAGTTCTTTTGATACTCACTTATCCAGATGCAGACGCTGATGATGATGGCAACTCGTGGCTGTCTGAAGTTGACGGTCCTGAACGGTAAAACTATGGCACAAAACCGGTCAATACTCATGGCAGTCAGCGTCAAACAGGCGGCCTGGTGCGTCCCCTGTGCAGGAAATATAAAAAAAAATGGCACTTTCAGAAATACAAATCTAAGAAGCCAACACGCTTATTAGTAGAGAAGAGTAGGGGCTGATTTGGCCAAATTTGGCCACATTTTTACATTACCGGCTCATATTAATGTACTACATGTATGCTGCCTTCTCATTAGAGTGATAAATGAGCAAAGAAGCGTATTCCCTGGGCAGGAAATTTAAAAAAATCACACTTTCAGAAATAAAAATCGACCAGGCAAACGCGATTATTAAAAGAGAACAGTAGGGGCTGATTTGGCCAAATTTGGCCACATTTTGTTCATGTTTATGGCTCATGTTTAGGTACTATGCTCTCTCGTCCTTCGAGTAACAAATGACCAAAGAAACGTTCTCATCATCTATACATAGAGGCAGTGACAATGTAGGTTACCAAAGCACTTGGCCTATACGCGCTGAAGTAACTGTTCTATCGTTGCTAAAATTGCTATAGATAGTGGTAGATGCCGACATTCAAGTCGAATGCCACTGAATGTATGATAATTGCAACGTAACATTGTCACCAAAACAATGCACAAACTAAGCCACCGCCTCCACCCACTGAACCTCACGATAAACAAGCCGTTCAGTTATTTTCCGGTCGCTTCAATGTCAACCAATGGCCTTCTATCGGGCATTGCCCTCTCTGCATGGCCTGCTTGTGATTAAGTTTCTTGGACTCGGATCTGGTTCTTTAACCAGAAGTACTGCCGATTCCCCGGGGGTATTTGTGAGGCTGAAGTGTAGGTGACTAAGGCGAGGTCATGGATTCGACAAAAACAGGACCAGTTTGACCTTTAAAAAGACCGTTTGATTCTGCCGTATGGTAACATATACAGGACACTTTAGTTTAAAATGTGAAAAAAAAATTAAAATGCGGTTAAAAAATCAAGCAAGGCATACGTTAGCTCGGAGTCTGTTTCAGATTACGATTAGTAAGCCTCGTGCAAAGTTTACTGGCAAAGCAAAGATGACACATATGATTTGTCGAGCGCCCTACATTGCCAACAATTAAGATTAAACTTTGAATGAGGCAAAATATACTGTACGATTGCGATGCAGTAATCGTAACAAAGTATAAACATCCTGCGTTGTTTCCAGACATCAAGATGACAAAGCCTACAACTCTTCAAATCCACAGCAATGCTTCAGAACGTTGACCGCTTGCATTTGGAACGTGCCAGCGGCTATTCTGGTCAAAAGTAATGACTAAGAGTCCGAAAACTTAATTGCGGACACGCAGCCTTTTCGGGTCCGATTTGCGCTTTTAAGTTTATCTTCTGATTCGCTTTGGCTGACGCTTGGCTAGCTACTGCATGTGAGACACATTCACGACCATCCCCGAATTTGTTCCCGAACACCAGCCGACCAGATTCGGCTGACGGTCGGGAGCACTCTGATCTCGCCTACCTTTCTGTAAGAATGGAAACGAATTTGAGTTAAATTTGTGTCAAATTTGACTCCCGCACACTGCCGACTTACTCCCAAATGTTTGGCTGGCGTTCTCCCGACTTGCAGCCGAATGCCAGCCAACAATGGTCGAACTTCCCGACCAACGCCCGAATGTTTCAAACATTTTAAATACTTGGCTGGCGCAGTCGGATAGTATCCGAATTCGCCGAACACCGGCCGACTTTACGCCGACCTACTCCTAACCATGATTGGGAGACGTTCGGCTTGCGTTCGGGAGGCAAAATTCGTGAAGTTGTGGTAGGGTCTTCTAGGTCCCCTTTCCACATGTCGACGATCGTAGAGCGACAGAAAATCAATTTGTGTCAGCCTTGACTTAAGATAATCGTAATTGGTACATGATGTTGAAATTTGATTTTAAAAAAGTGCAAGAAACACACCGAAGTTTTAGAAATTCGTTAAGCGATCGGTTTAATTTTGGTCGCTCTCTCTCAGTGGTCGCTATGAGGTAGCATCAGCTAGAGAAAGAGGGTGTAAGATTTTTATGGCGCCGTTTTGTTTCAAATAGCGGGGAGAAAGCTTATATCTGTCTACCAGCCGCTGTCTATTGTATCAATGTCACAATGAAATTGGCACTTGATAATACGTATGTGGACAAAAATTGATATGACAAGATCACACAGACCAGTTTCGGCGATGTGCGAATTTTCAGCGGCCAGGTTTGAATGTAGGTGCCGTGCAAAAACGTTCGCACCTACATAGTTACCTAGGACGGGATGCCCTTACAATTGTCGTGTTGCACTGACCTTACTGTTATCATTAATTGTGGCATTTGTTGTGCGATCAAATTCGGTTTAACATTGGTCACCTGTTGATGTTTGCGTCAGATTATGCAAGCTCTTGTCACCACCGTCCTACATTCGAAATTTTAGATTTTTACCTAACAGTTGTGCTAATTCTGCACGTTGTCTTTGCTTATGCAAACAGGGCATATATTGTCTATTTGTACAACTTCGCAATTCGTCTCTATTGTTAGTGGAAAGATAGTCTACTACTATAAACTAGAACGCGTGGAGTGACATAACCATAACCCAAGCATTCTTGAGTGTTTTGCAATTGTCCATACAATTAGCACAAGTCCTGCCGGTATACTGGCACCCGCCATACCTTTTATAAAAATCAAAAGTTTTATCCAACTTTTATAAAGAATTACATCGAATGTTTTCGAAATAGGGTATATTTTCAACCAGGTACCAGCCATAATTCGTTCATCAATGTATAGATTCTTATGCTCAGCAGACAGAAGAAACGGCGGTGGCGTTTAAAGCACAAAATGGTTTTCATGTTACCGAAAGACCTAGAACAGTTTTGTTAACGTTGGTGGCTTATTATAAGTAAACTTGTGTGTTGAACGTTTCCCTTTCGGTGACTAATAATCATAAATGCCTAAATTTCAAGTAATTTAGTAACGACATTTGCCTTTTATGCTTGGGCATAGCTAACATGCACCGGTGCAATGTGCCAAGTGGGTAGAGCGTTCGCCAAGTCATGCCAAAATGGTGCATACTGATTTCTATGCTTAGTACTCAGCATTGGAAAAGCATTGGAAAAGCGAAAAGCGAGTAGTGGTTGAACACACACCACTACCTGCATGACCTGTGGACTAGCCCCCTACTGTAGTGATTGCACAACTGTGTGGCCCAAGGGCTATTGAACCGGAGATGGGCACCGCCATATGCACTACCTAGTGCGGGAAGGACTTTCAACTTTACGAGCCAAAACTGTGCAAAAATAGCAGAACACACGTTCACTGCCAACTCCCTTTTGTTTCTCCTTCTCAGTTGCTATTCCCGGTCCAAACAAAGCTTCATCAACTCAACACCGTGGTGTATGGAGATCGCGATCTGATTCCGACGATCGGTTTTTGTTGGCCTTCCTTTATCTCTGTCCTCAAATCAACTGTAGCTGTGATTTCAAAGACTTGTACAAAGACACGTGGCATTTTCTCCCATTTGCCCCGTTTTTTCTCGTCTTTCATTTTGGGGACGATGTATAGAGTCTACTTGTAGTTATCTTTTTTGCTTGACAAAGTAAGGCGTTGAAACAAACGATCTGTAATCAATGAACAATGTACATCTTCAATGTATGTCTACCTCGGTGAAGGTTAGATATCCAGGCAATAAGATTCACCCCCCAAAAACCATAAACCTGCATTTCTGCACAAGTTCTCTAGTGTTACAGACGAAAGGTAGTGCATGGATGCTACCTGAAACGTCTGACCGTTTCCAAAATCATATTCAGTTGCTTGAGTAACTTTTTTTTGGCGTACATCTCGTCTATTTCAGGTTTTCTGCTGTCCCTTGTCCCGAGCCTTTTACCGAAGTGTGCGACGGCACAGCAATTGGCTTCGACCAGGATTCAGTCTGCCATCAACTGCGGAAGCCCCGCTAGTATACTGGCACCCGCTTAAGTTTTGTAAGAAACGAAAATCACCAGATTCATCCAACAGGCGTACAAAGGATTGGACGTTTACGGGTACATTTTCAACCAAGTAGCTGCCATAATTCGTTATTTTCTCAGCAGACGAAACTAAGTACGGTTCAAGAAAATGCCACGTGTCTTTGTACAAGTCTTTGAAATCACAGCTACACTTGACTTGAAGACAGAGATAAAGAAAGGCCAGGAAAAAACCGATCGTCGGAATCAGATCGCGATCTCCGGCCATACACCACGGTGTTGAGTTGACGAAGCTTTCTTTGGACCGGGAATAGCAACCGCAGTGCCAAGGAGAAACAAAAGGGAGTTGGCAGTGAACGGGTGTTCTGTCATTTTTGCACAATTTTGGCTCTTAAAGTTGAAAGTCCTTCCCACACCAAGTAGTGCATAGGGCGGTGCCCATCACCGGTTTAATAGCCCTTAATTGGGCCACACAGTTGTGTAATCACTACAGTAGGGGGCTAGTCCACTGGTAGTGTTGTGAGTTCAACTACCATTCGCTTTTCGCTTTTACAAATGCTGAGTATTAAGCAGAGAAATCAGTAGGTACCATTTTGGCATGACTTGGCGAACGCTCTACCCACTTGGCACATTGCACCGGTGAATTTTAGCTCTGCCCAAGCATAAAAGGCAACTGTCGTTACTAGTACTATACTAAAGTACTTGAAATTTGCGCATTTATGATGATTAGTCACCGAAAAAGAAACGGTCAACACACAAGTTCACCAAAGCCACCAACAAAGCTGTTCCTGGTCTTTCAGTTTCAATAATACGAAAATTGCCCCCACCCAGTTTTCTGTTCGAAACGTCACCGCCCTTTCTTCTGTCCGCTAAGAATCTGTACATTGATGTTTTGAACACATTTTTGGTGGGTTATACCGATGATTTTCGTCTTACTGAAAGACCGGGGACAGTTTTGTTGGTGGCTTCTGTAAACTTGTGTGCCAACCGTTCCTTTGGCGTAAATTTCAAGTAATCTAGCTCCTCAAAGAACAGAATCAAGGACTGAGGCTTTTTGCCATCCACCTCATTGAGACTCAGTAAAGTGGCGACGACACAAGCCCGATCGGGTTGTTGTCAAAACAAACAAACAAACAAACAAAAAGCCAGAGGTCTGCTGCTTCGTTTCAGTAGGGAGAAGATAGAACAGAGGAGACAAAATTGTACTTTCGGTCAGTTTTCGGACATATCTCTGCTAAAAAGGGTAGGTCGATATTACTGTGTAGAGTTTTTCAACGTCAGTGATGTGTGAAGGGCAACCGTGTAGCACTAACAACTTGATTTACCAAAGTTGTGCACTTGGGAAAAGCAGTTTACACCTATTTGCTTACTTGATTCATGTGAAAAGTTATAATTACTACCTAGCTTTGGTTGGGGACGTCGTATCGGGTGGGAGGAAAAGCCATATTTTAGAAGAGCTACACCTTTAAAGCACATTTAAGGATCCCACCATCCTGGTATGACCTGGATCAAACCTTACAGTCCGGTCTTACGTACTTACTGTACAATACTGGGACCGGTGCGTTGCGCTTAAAGGCTGTATTATGCGAAACAAACCCGGTAAAATTGGCTTCTAGTAGCCCACACACCTATTTCTTCCTGTCGCTCAATTACTCAACATTTAATCATAGTGTTATTGTAGAGATGTAGTCTTCTTACGTATCATTGAAACCTTTCCTCTGTATGGTCTAAAGACTAAAATGGGGTGGGGAATTTCCTTCGTAGCCCCTTCTTCGCCTCTAGAGTCAATTCGTGAAACTTGCGTAAGCTTGATGTTTCTAACTTAGGGAGAAGAGATTATTATTATATAGTTGCTACAGTGAGCGTTCAGTGCCCTTAGCTTATGACTTTGCACTGATCAAAGCTCGCGAAAAAAAAGGAGTCTAGATCAAACAAAACCTTATTCTTCGTCATATTCAACGTATACTTCTAGTATTCATGTACGGACAGGGGTAAAGACAGGAGAGGCAAGCCAACTACACTCACGCCCTAAAATTTTTACAGTGACAGGTTCTTTCCCCGTATACGGCCAAGCTTTGGAATTCCCTCCCAGACAAGTGTTTCCCACCAACCTACAATCTACAGGCTTTCAAATCAAACGTTCACCACCATCTCTTGATATAGCCATGTTTCTCTCATATTTCTAGTTCAATGCCGAGAAGTGGTCGTATATGTGAAACTCAACTAAAAGATGGCAATTCACTAACAGACGCCCTTTCTAACATCTTCAATGTTTACTACTGTCTCTATCAATTTTCATAACAACATTTTAATGTTTTTCTTAGGAATTATGTAAAGACACTGAGTTGAACTTTAAAAAGTTCAACTCAGTGTCTTTACATAATTCCTAAGATTACATATTATTACTTCATATTCACTGATACGTGTTTGTGAATTGTGCATAGCTATGTGATTATATTTCAATAGTTGCCAACGGATGAAATGGATAATAATTTTCATACATGAACCATCTCTTTTTGGTAAACTAAACGGATACCCCGGGGTCTATCCCATTAATTCACCATATCAAGATTTTAAAAAACTCTTTCTGGTAAATTAAAGGGATAACAGGGGTGATATGCCATTAATTCATATAGATGATTGTGGTGGCACATAAGGTAGAAAAAATGGGATATACGCATAACATACACTTATTTTCATTTGACATTACACTTGACACATTTACACTTGACATTATCACAGTCAAATACTTTTCAGTACTAAATAAATCGGATAAATAAATAGATCTATATCTGTTAGCCCACAAACTTTCCTTACCCTGCCGAGGTAGTGCATGCCCTTGCACAAGGCCTCTCCCAGCGGCCATTCTGAAAAGGCGAACACTATTGCCGCAGGAGGGATACTGAACACCAGGTAGGCTAGATCCGTCACGGCCATGTTGACCACGTAGATGTTGGTCACAGTTCTCATGTCCTTGGACCTGGCGATGACCAGGATGACCAGTCCGTTTCCGATGACCCCGACGATGCCTATGACACCAAGCACGGCCGGGATGACCACTGCCTCCGTTGCAAACGGGTTCTCCCGTTCCGCCATTTCACAAGTTTCTCGTTGTTTGTTTCGATCTCAGAATCTCAACCGCGCCGTGACAACAACAACAACAACAACAGCTCTATAATTGTCCGCTAAGTTCATCACTGCGAGTCCGGAGTTCGGACTCGCAGTGTCCGGAGTTACAGTCCCGGGCGACCTGTGGAGAGTTTAGAGCTACCTGCACGTCGCTATGTATCCCTCTAGACGCCTTAGGGTTGTGATACCGCCCTTCAGAAGAAACGGCGCCAGTTTCCTAGAGTCTGGCGACCTGCAGGAACCTCAATGTGGCATTGATAAAACTGCGGCAACAGAATCAAAATGGCCGCCTCCAATCTCAAGGTCAAGAAGTCCGTAAACACAACTAGGAAAGGATGAACATTCTTGGAGGGACTACCTGTTCTTATAGCTATCTACAGCTAAGGGCTGCAGAATCAATCACGGCATGCAAAACACTCTTCTTGACCGCCGCTGAACCTACATACTGCTGTGAGGGGTTACCTGATTGGCTACACTGACCGCTGAATGATGTGGCCAGTTGAAGTTGAACTCCTGTTGCGAATTTAAAAAGCGTGAATTTATTATCATGTCCCAGTGATTTATGTGCATGTCCCCATTTAAACTTTATGCTTTTAGGTATTGCTAAATTGATAGATAAGGAACAAAGCTTTCATGATTATGTTTAGCGAAGGAAAAAAATATGCTTTGCTCTGTTTCCTCCTCTTCTATTTCTTCTCCAAACAAATAAGGTCAATGACCTGAACCAGACGTCTGTCACCATATGGTAACTAACTAGTGTTGGGTTACACCATGTTGCAATTTTATAGCAGGAGGGATTTAGACTCCTGTCTGACCATATTTCATATGAATATGTTTGAGTAAGAATTAATTTCATCAATCATATTATGATGTATGCTTCGATAGTTTAGATGGGTCTATGCGTTTATTAAAGACGTAAAAATGCCCCCTCCCTCTTTTTTAAAAGTTCTTCGAACAGTAGCCAGAATGAGGTCAACGCACTTCTGGGAATGTGGTGCTGATTCCTGTCATGTTGGTTTGTTATTCTTTCCATCCCTTGATTTTGGAAGTTGAGTCGCCCGGCAACCAGTGAAATGAGTTAGTGTTACCTTGTTGGAGTTCAGTGACCGACTGTTGACTGCGATTCAGTTGCCAGTACGCCTGACCCTGACCGCCGGTCGGTGTCATCCCCTGCCTCGGTGAGTTCCAGGTACGGGCCCGGCCTAATCAACAGCAAATGGAACCCAGACAGTTCACTTACCCCCCAATGCAGTTTTAATTTGAGGGCTTGAAAGACATATTTTAGGTCAACATTTTAGTCACTTATCTACATAGTACGTTGCTATCCCAATGTATATCGACATTCATGGAGCAAAAAAGCCGAAATTGTGACGGAAAACGGTTACTGGTTGGATCCTGGGATGATATTTGATGTACCACTCAGAAAATAAAGGACTCTTCTTGGGGCTTGTTTTAAAAGCCTAAAATATGAAATACTGATGCAAATGTGCTAATGTGGGGCAGTATGTGCCAATATCATAGAGCCTTATTCAGAATTTTTCAAGTATTGCTACACTGAAATTGCATTGAATGCCTTTACAGTTGCTCGATGGAAAATTTTAGCGGAAAAAATGAAAATATTCTGAAGAAAGAAATGTTCATGTTGTTGATATCTACTGGCACTGTTGAGCATTATGATTTTCATAATTTGTTTAGTTTTGACTGAAAAATTGAAAATATTCTGAAGAACAAAATCTTCATGTTACGTTGTTAACATTGATATTTGCGGACACATTTGGCATCATGATTTCATATTTCTGATATTAACGAACAGCGCAAAAACAACGATCCTTTTATTTTGGGGTGATACATGATAATTACTCGGTTCCTCTTAGTTTTTTTTTTTGGGGGGGGG